TGTCACTGTCATCTACGAACATCATCGTCCACAGAAACTCTTGCCTGACCTCGTCTGTCAACTTGTCCATTGCCACCACAAACAAGAGGGGCCTCAGAGCTGATCCCTGAAGTAATCCCACCCCCACGTGGAACCCATCTGTCATTCCTACAGTGCACCTCAACATGCCCTGCATTAGCTTCTCTGACAGTCCTGGCAAAATAATCATGTGACATGGAAACGAAACTTTGAACATAGCCACTGGAGAAACTTACCACATAAACCTCTGTGTCTGACTCCACAAATCATTAGTAAGTAATAAAGTACTTCAGACTTAAGGAGTCAAAAACATTTTAATTCATGGGTCACATGCTGCCCAGTTTGATCTCCATGTAACTTTTATCTTAACCTATTTAAAAAACATGCCAAACTTGTCACTGAAAACTATCCTGTGAACAGTCCATTTATATAAACTGATGATGAACTGCCTCTCTTAAGAAAAACATGTCTCAGCTTTACGACTGGAAACAGTGATGATTCAAAGAAATGCACTGGCATGACTCCTTGGCTTAAACACCATATTTCTGCTTGGTAGTAAAAAGACTATGTGTAATGTCTTTGTCAGTAACAAGGCGGTAAACCGAACAATGACTCAGACCTCTGGCTCAGATAAAACAGTTGTTAGCAGCACAATGTTTCCTTTGCAATATTTACATTGTAAAAAGTCATTCACCCGGCCATGCAAATCCTTTAGTGGCTTGGTTCTGATCAGTGGACAAAGTGTTTGAGAACTCCTGCATGAGGCCACAAAACATATAGGGAAACCTGAAATGTGACCCGTCCAGCATCTAGAGTATTGTCTATGTCAGATTTATTTTTACAACTTAAAGGCATTTCACCTCTCATCCAAATGGCCTCTTCAGTTCTAAAAGCTGAATGGAAGTCTCACATTATTAATTCTGTAAGCATGGCAGGGGTTGTTGTTTTTGTAGAGTGCTATAAATATGGCCACTTGGTGGTGCCACTTCAAAGGTTTATCAGAGGAAACAACCAAAATATGTTTTAAATAACTAAAGTAAATCTAAGAAGCTGATATTTTGCTCTGGATTACAATGGATAGACTAAGCTTTAACATCATTGAGATTGTTTTTCTAAGGTCATGAGAATGGCTGTAGGACTGCAGGAGAGGCTGTAAATTTGCACATGCAAAAGCAGAAAGCTGGAAAGCCACATGATCTCATTCGAGATAATCCCTTTAACCTCTTTAGCCCAGCCCTTTAAATATAATGTATCTGTAGAACATTATCTCTGCCACAGGCAATGACCACAGACATACAGGCACACCTGAGTGTAATCTCAAATCTAGCTTTTTCTCTAATTGTAAGAACAAGAATAATTGCATCACCAGATGCCTGTGTTGGCCTAGGCACATCCTTTCGGGTACAATTAAACCATTTCTGACCAGGGTATTATAGTTACCTACAACTATAATGATGTAAATGAAAAAGATAAAAGATAAAGATAGAATATGAACATGGTATAACAATAACAGATGGTATATCCTGCTTTTCTAGCACAGTGTAGTATAGTCTTTCCGTCTTGGTGTATATTGTGCAATACTTTTTACTTCAAAACAAGAAAAAAATACCTCTCTCGTGTGTGTGTGTGTGTGTGTGTGTGTGTGTGTGTGTGTGTGTGTGTGTACTTCGACGAGCTCTGAAGGCTCCGAGCATCCAAATTAGGAGAACAAAGGCTGCGATGGTAGTCGTGTTTTCAAGGTACACGATGATTGGCCAGCATCTTCAAAGAACTCATGTGATTGGTGGATTTGTCTGTCAGTCAATGAGATTAACTTTTCAATTGGCCTAACTCGAAGTTGCAAAACTCACGTGCCTTTCCTCTTCCTAGAAGGCGGTGCCTGCTGGTTGTTACCTGCTGGTGGAGAAGCTTGTTGTTGTTATTGTTGTTGTTTGTGTTAAAGTTTAAAAAAATAAGTCTTCTAAAATGGGAGCCCGAGACGATGAATACGACTACCTGTTCAAAGGTAAGTTTATTTCTGAAGGGGGATGAATGTCAGCGTCTCGGTCGTCTTTAATATGGCTCTCGGTAACAACAGGAGCAACTGAGGAAGTCAGTAATGCTAAAGTTAGCTCCACTGGTAGCAAAGTAGCAAACGATGAAACGATACCTGCTGAAAAAACTGACGCTGCTGCAGGTAGAGTTTGGAAATTCTGTGAACAAATGTGCATTCCCTAGCTTTAGGATACACCTTATCCCAGTGGGTAAGTTTAGACACGGCAGCTGTCAGGCTGTTTAAAGTGTGTTTAAGTAGCTAGCCGCTAACATCACAACGACGTTCCTACTTTGAAGTTAACTGAAACGAACCCATGTTCTGATTATATTTGATCTGTAAATCAATTAGCTGGATAACTTGGTGATAACGACCTTGAGTATGCCTAACAGGAATAATTAATGTCATTTTATTCTCTCTGACATCATCAGATTTGTTTGTCGTCACGTTAACATTAGACAAAATATGTCTTATATTAGTGAAGGTGGTGTGCATGAACCAAAGTGAAATTCTAGCGTAACGTCAGTTTGAAAATGTCAGTGTTGAAAAAAATGATTTTTTTAAGTGTTAAAAATATTAAAGCTGATGAGCCACATCATTAAGAAAAGGGGAAGCAGTTGTGGAAACTAGGATAAGAACAAAGCTGATGATAAGTTAGCAGCGGTATGGCACTACAGATGTGATGCCTTCTTTGAAAAGTGTAGAGAAGGTCAGAGAGTGCTTCACTGTGTTTCTGTGGATCTAGAGAAAACAAACGATACAGAGGAACTGTGGTACTCTATGAGGAAGTCAGAGGTAGCAGGGAAGTATGTGAGGCTGGTGCAGGACATGTATGAGGGCAGTGAGCCAGTGGTGACACTGGGTTCACGGTGGGATCGGATCGTCTGATCCACCTGAGCCTCTTCTTGTTTGCAGTAGTGATGGACAGACTGACAGATAAGGCCAGGGAGGAGTCTCTGTGAACTGTTATGTTTGCAGACGATACTGTGATCTGTAGTAAGCGTACGTGGCTGCTGGAAGAGAGCCTGGATAGGTGACTGTATGAACTAAGAGAGAAGAGTAATGAAAGTCAGTAGAAGCAAGACAGAATACCTCTGTGAATGAGAGGGAGAAAGGTGAATAGGTAAGCATGCAAATAGCTGAGGTAGTGAAGGTAGAGAAGTTTTAATACCTGGGGTCAAGTCAGGGTAGAGTGGATGGAGACCAGTGTCAGGTGTGATTTGTGACAGAAAGACAGCAGCAAAAGTGAAAACAAAGCTTTACAAGATGGTAGTGAGACCTACTGTGGTGTATGGCTTGGAAATGGTGATAATGAGAAGTAGACAGGAGGTCGAGCTGGAGGAGGCAAAGCTGAAGATGCTAAAATTTTCATTGGGTGAGACCATAATGAACAAGATTAGAAATGAGGACATCAGAGGGATTTAGATAGAAAGCTTGGCAAGTCTGAGATTATTTGGATGTGCAGAGAAGAAATAGTGGATGTTGAGTATGGAGCTGCCAGCGAGGAAAAAAAGAGAAAAACCTCAGAGGAGGTTGCAGAGGGTTGGTGTGACAGAGGAGGATGTTAGGGTTAGGGATGTGGTGAGATGGGGGCAGGCATTCTGCTGTGGCGAGTTTGACTGGCTTAAATAAAATAAAAAAATTTTTCTGGGCTGGCTGTGCAGCGTAACAGGGGTGGGAATTCTGCAGCCTTAAGTGAGCCATGGTAGACCGCTGACACAGCAGGTCTACTGTTTGCTTTGTTTTTTCATGTGTCTGGTGTGTATTTTGATTCTAGTTGTACTAATTGGAGACTCTGGAGTGGGGAAGAGTAATCTGCTGTCCCGTTTCACAAGAAATGAGTTCAACTTGGAGAGCAAGAGCACCATCGGGGTGGAGTTTGCAACCCGCAGCATTCAGGTGGACGGCAAGACGATAAAAGCTCAAATCTGGGACACAGCTGGGCAGGAGCGCTACAGAGCCATCACCTCAGCGTGAGTTTGTTTTGTCGTATGCATTACTTAAGGTGTTACGTTAGTAATGGTTATTTATAGGGTAATGTTCACACACTTAGACATGTATAATGAGATGTGTCTTTGCTAATAATTGTGGCTGAGTAGTATGTGTTTGAACCCCTTAGGGTACTAGACCTGGTGCCAGTTTTACATAAATTAATTGTCCAAATTCCTTTTGTTATCAGGAGGAATTAATCACCCAAGAGGAACCATTTTGTAACAGCTGTTTATGTAGCTGGTCTGACCTGAAACTCTGATTGCCTTGTTCCTACGTTGTGTTGTGTGAATGATGAGAGGAGTCAACTCTCGCTTTGCCAGCTGGGGCGGGTTTATTCTCCCAAAACTTCAAAATAAAAACAACTCGGTACAACAAATTTAACTGGGCTTCTGCATGCACAGTTTTAAGGGAGAGAGAAGAATAGCGGACCACATGAGAAATCACCTGCATGCTCCTGTGCCCTAACCTGGGATCGGCAAATTAGCATGTTACAATAAAGTGCTGTACTCGACAGGGAAACAACAGTTAACACTAAAACATCCAACAAAGCCGTGAGACAAAATGCATAAAGGGAACAAGTAATCCTTGAATCACTTAACTGTGTTTAATCGCTGTGTAACCGGAAACACTAGCGTACACTCACCTCTCCTCAGCAGGGCCTCTGGGTGACTGAGGAGAATAGCGAAATGACTTTGTGGGAAGTCAAAGGTCACACAAACAAAATAAAAGCTCCAAAAATATAAATACAGAAAATAGATATATATACATACATATGTACATAAACGATACTGACAAAGCAAAAAATAAATGATTTTTTTTTTTAATACACCCGTTACATTTATATGTATAAAAAGTTGTGAAAATAATACAAGGTATAAAATGCAATACAAGAAATCCTGCTGGAGATGCTGGAGTCTTGTGGTGTCAGATTGGTGGCACTATTGTTTTCAGCAAAAGCAGCAAGCCATTGCGCCATTGGATCATTAGGTCCTGTTGTTTTCTTTGTATTGTTTGTGTGTCCTCCTTACTTCTGTAGGGATGGAAATGATTGTGAACTTTGTGTGGCTTTATGACCTCTATCTTCATCAGGTATTATCGGGGTGCAGTCGGGGCTCTCCTAGTTTATGATATTGCGAAGCACCTGACGTACGAGAATGTGGACCGCTGGTTGAAGGAGCTGAGGGACCACGCTGACAACAACATCGTCATCATGCTGGTTGGAAACAAGAGCGACCTTCGACATCTCAGGGCCGTGCCCACTGATGAGGCCCGAGCATTTGCAGGTGGATTTTTGAGTGTTCTTTGTTTTGCTTTGGAGCAGTCAAAGTAGCTCCTTAACATTCAGTTCAATTGCTGTAAAATAAAAATCCCTTTTCTTTCTTTTTTTTAACCTTAGAAAAGAACACTATTTCATTTATTGAAACTTCAGCCTTGGACTCCACTAACGTAGAAGAAGCATTCAAGAGCATTCTCACAGGTAAAAAATAAAAAGTGTGAACTCAACTCAATAATCATCCAGGTACTCTACTGTTAGACCTCTTATGCCATTGTTTTCTTTCCTAGAAATCTACCGTATCGTATCTCAGAAGCAAATATCAGACAGATCTGCACACGAAGATTCTCCAGGCAACAATGTAGTGGACATAAGTGTCCCCCCAACCATGGATGGGCAGAGGGGCAACAAACTCCCCTGCTGCCAAAGCCTGTGACCCTCCTTTTTTCTTTTTCTGGTTGACTTTGTGTCAGAGTTTTCTCTTTTCCCTTCTACTGTCAGATGCTGTTATCTTACCCTCATGGGTTCAGAAGTGTTTGACACAGAGACTCTTAGATTTGACATTCCTTTATGCTGTTTTCTTCTTTGTTCGTCTGAGTCCCGTGTCAAAACAACTTGTCTAAAATACGAAAACTGAGAAGAAAGACGATTGTTAAGCTGTTAACTACAATCTCTTTTTAATTCACTAGGTGATGATCCTATTGACCCACTCCTGCTGAAGGAGTGGCGAGGGATCGGTAGGCCTGTTTATGAGTGCTCAGAGGTGTTTTTACTCGGTTCCTTTTCTCAGCCTAATCTGCTATAGTGGAGTCTCATTTTCATGTCGGGTTGACCTGATTCTGCCTGTCTTGCAATGTGGGTGCAGAAGAGGAGATGAGAGGAAGGTTCGTTTGGAGTGCTGATGTGTGGTCTGTCAAGAGTTTCTGGTTGCCTCTTTAATTTTAATTTTCCTCTTTTGTGCTGTGTGCCCACTCTGGCATGAAATTAGCATGAGCTTGGGACCAGACTGGCTATGAATGACTGACTCATTATAGGCAAGCATGAAACACATGACACATTTTTGTTTTTGTGTGTGTGTGTGAGTGAATGAATTTTAGTTTAGTACACAAACATACCAAAGGAAACAATCAGAATCAGTTTTGGGGAAGCTCATTTCACCGTGTTCAAGGATGTTACGATTGCAGGTGATTGCTAAAAGGTCCAGGCTATTTGCAACAAATGTGTAACGGTCCACAGGAGATGCATTGTTATAAGTTGTGGTGCATGATGTCAAACTTTAATTTCAGAATTAGATTGGGGTTTTTTGCACTAGAGTCCAGTTATTTCGGTGGAACCTTATATTTCAAAATGGCATAAAATTTTCATCAGGTAGCATTTTGCTACCTGTAAGGAAAACAATGCTGACAGAAAAGGAAGAATGAAGTTGAAATTGTAACATTTCTGTACCGAATGAGCCATTGCTGTCATTAATCCTAACTGTTGAACAGGAATTGATAAAAGTTTGTAAACTCAGAACATTATCCGTGGAAAACCAATAAATAAATACTCCCCACATACTGCTTTCACTTCAGCAACATTAATGGGTTTTACTTGAAAAAATGGAAGTGAAAATCAGAAATGCAAATTTTGTTTTCATACTTGGGTAGAAAAAAATATTTCCACCCATCTGGTTGAGGTGCTGTCATGCATTAGGTGTTCATAAGAAAGCATATCATACATTTAAATGTGAATTTAATCTGAGCAGATATAATCTTTTTTCCTACTTTTGCATTACACCAGAAAATACTGAATCGTAACTAAAACCTGTCCATATGACCATACAGCAGACAGTTATTTTGGTCTCCCTTACTCAGTTTACTCATACCTTAAGCTGGGTTGTTTTAATAATTGACAGATGGGTTTCTTAGGCATTTGGGATACAAACCTACTTTTTTAGGTTGTATTCAAAATTATTAGAAATGTATAAATAAGGTTAAAGCGATAAAATTAGGATAGTTTACTACATGTAACATCTCAGTGCACATTCAGGGCAGGCCTTTCTGTCTGCAAAGCACATTTAAAACAAGAAGTGCCTATTCTGAGAGTACACTACTATGAGAAAGCAGGTGGCATTGACGACAAGGTTTGTGAGCATTATAACTCAAGAGCGAGATGACATAAGGTTTTCAAATTCATGCCATGAGTACATCTGATAAACATCTCAGACAAATTGGAATCTCAATGACCTTGACCTCAAGTACATAGGTTAACTTTTTGAAAAGCACCTAGGGTTTTCAGGTGCATCTGAGGGTGTTACTGGTGTAAAAGAAGGTTTGAGGTTTTTCTTCAGTAGCTGAAAAGCTGCTCTGTTGGATTTTAAATGAGGTGACTCACTTGGTCATTGCACCTCTATTATAGAGTCATTGATTCAAACAGATACTATGATCATGAATTTGTTTTACTCCTGCTTGGGTTAATGACTTTGTCTTTAAACTAACATATGTAACCATAGTCTATTAATAGTTGTGGCTATTATAGACCACAATATGTGTTGAATCACTATGCAATTTGGTGGGATGTATGTCATTTTAGCTGGGAAAAATATATTTTAAATGAAAATATTAGGCTAAAGAAAGAAAACTTCCAATGAGCTTCAGAGTCATTAATTGGCCACCTTCGTTCTTCAACACAGTGTGAACTCTGAGGCAAGCTTTCTTGTAGTTTCTTTAAGTAGTCTTCAGACATAGTTCTACAGGCCACAGTCTATCAAAATCTGACACTGTTTTTCTAAGTGTATGCATCCATTACCTTTGTGACATTTTTCTGTTCTCCACTTGTCCAGTTTCCTCAAAAAGTTCAAGGTTCAGTACGTACAGTATTGAGATGTGCTAATTTTTTGGCTAATAGAGCTTTGAGGATCACCTTCTTGGTGCATAGATACTATTTTATATCTGTCAAATTGGTATCTTTGGGACTTTTTGTAGAATAAAATAGAATCTTAGTTGTTACTGAGAGTTTTAAATAGGCTCTTAGTAACAACGTGTCTCAGCATAAACTTAAAATTATTTCTTTGCTAAGTTGTCATGTTACGTATAGACATGACACTGGTTCATCCCTTGAGTTTAAAGCATTTTTTTATGCGTGAATGTTACATAGGTCAGTTGTAAGCAGTTCACCTAACAAAAAACACTCCTCTGAAAATGGGTGCAAGGCAGAGGAAAGGAAAAATGAGCTGCTCGAGATCACTTTAACAGTTTTCAATTTGACTTTATGGAAGCAAACATAAAGAAATGAAGGACGAATCGAGATTTTTGCACAGTATCATAAATGATGTGATTTAATTATTTGCATGTTTAAGGTTACATTTTGTCGCTGCACCATCTCGTGGTACAAACTGGTATTACACTGAAGTACAGCCAGGCCCAACTTTAGTACAGATCTCTTCAACACAGTACATAGATGTTTAGAGAGAGAGAGAAGTCACAGTGGATGTTTCTTCACATTCTGCTCACAGCTGAAGTTCAAACATAAATGAGGCCGTTTAAACTGTTATAAACTAAACAGAGGAAAGCCACTAAGTCACTGACTGAAGCGAAACAAAACTTAAAGTGAAATAAAAACTGATTTAAAAATGCAGATGTGTTAAACAGTGTGGGTTAATGGTTTTGAATTGTGTTGAATTGTAAAGTGTTCCGGTCTCATTGAGCCTGTCATGTTTCCTGTTGGGGCCCCTCCCTTTGGCACGCTGCTGTTTGCGGCCACATTTATAGCCGTCTTCGGGATTTGTTTGTGCTCTGAGACGCCCTGTTTCTTCACCGCAGACGCAGGCAGCTGATGATGATGATGACCCTCTGGGTTGTATTTAAAGCCCAGGGAAAGCGGAAGCCTGGCCTGACTGTTATCAGTTGAGAACTGCTAGCTGGTGTAGCCCTACACTGAGCAGCCTTCATCGTTAGCCGCCTGTGCTGTTCACTCATACATAGTTATTAAACATGAATAGAGAAGGAAATGCGAGCTTTTTCGGACAACAGGACTAAAACATCACCAAGAAGAAAGAGAAGAAGAAGAAGTCACGGGTGAGTAGCTGTTAGCTTTTATTTGTTGCTTTTTTCCACCAAGCGGACGGCTAGCACTTCGCTGACAGCTAGCAAACAACACAGCTGCCGTGAAAGTGAAACTGATTAGAAAATGCTTCTTTATAACGACATTTTCACTGTGACGAAGTTGGATAGTAGTTATTCGTGAGTAAAGAACAGCAGAGATACACACAGCTAATTTGAGTTGCCGTGCAGTTGTACAGTATCATAATTCAACTCTGATCCAGACAATAGTCTGGATCAAATTCCCACATCTGTCTGCAGCGGTTAGTTCCTGTAACAGAGCCACAGTGAAGGAAAATGCCCCAGTTCGAAAGCTAACTGCATATTAATGTATGAGGGTTTATCATTGTAAGAAACCCATCATTAATCATTCATTCAAACGTGTAATTTTTGTTTGATCTTGACAAAATCCCTGCATTGATGTTCCCCAGCTGACGAATCCATACACACAGCTGATATTTAAAAGACTCGGAAAACAATAGCTTAATAGAGTCAGAGGTTGCCTTAATTTGGGGTTACCTCTTTGTTTATTTAGGTCAGGGATTGTACCTCTTAATCACCCCTGACGTACCCCCTCCCAATCTCCGTATGCATAAACAATAACACCAAGCAGCAATAGTGAAAACATGCTCTTCGGCTTCACAAAGCTGTTCATCATCTGGCTCTGTTAATTCAGGATTTAACAAATCAAAGTGCATAAGATTGTGACTCAACTACAACGAGCTATAAATAATCATAAAAGGGCTTTGTTGTCTAACTTCTATTTAAACAGTGAGATGCTTGACTTAAGTTGAATCATCTTTTCTCAGTTGCGAGGGTTAGAAACAGCATTCATTCCTAGATGTTGTCTAAATTCTTGTTTGATTGAACAGCAAAATCTCATAAACAGACACAAACATTTCTGCACTGGCTGTCATGTCAAATCTCCTCTTGAAAAACAAGTGTTGGACATGGAAGAGTATACTGGGTTTGCGTATAAATGCTGTAGTTTACCAAGGGTATGCACAGTGCTAAAGAGGTTTTATTATCAACACTAGCCCAGTGTTAACCCACATAAACAATAGACTAGTAGCTCAGTAGTTCTTTAAAAGTAAGTTGATAAGTATTTTCAGTGAATATTCCCCCCAAATCCCCATTAAAGTTCCATATATATCAGGCATGCTACTTTAAAATTATTGTTTCTTATTTTATTGCTTGTAATCAGTGTATTTAAATTTTGCTTATTGTGTTCTAATTCATTTGTACAGAATAGGATACATTTTTGAGACAGCAAGAAAAAATGTTGTTAAGGGTTATCTGGGTTAAGACAGCTGTTTATCAGGCTGCTGCACATCACACTCACTGTCACTGACCTCACACTTGGTTTTATAATGGATTAGCAGCTGCTTTTGGGCAAACTGGCCCACCTCCAAACGGACAGCTTTCTTCTAAAAGACGGAACGTCTTTTCTGGATAATTTTAGCCGTTCCCACGTGGTAGGAAATTAATCATTTGTGAAACAGACTACAGACATTTAAGTAACTCTGTCACAGTACTGCAGTGAGCCAAATGACGAACAAACTCTGGTCTACTATCACATTTTTATATATAAAAAATGCTATACGTCAGTGTCTGTTTGATCAGTTATCTGATTAGTAACCCAGTTACCGACTTCCCTGACAGTACTAGAAACATTAAGAGGGAAGTGGTGAGTTGGGTTATTGCAAAACTGTAATACCATGTTGTTTGCTAGTCATGAACATGAACATGAACATGAAGGTCAATAAAAACAGATGGACTGTAAGCATAATATAGCAAACATAAAATGACTCATCATGATAGTGCAGGCATTGTACTGTAGCTGGTTTCCATAAGTTCCTTCTCCAAACCCAGAACTTCCCTCCGACGAGCCTAATCTGGACACTAAAGTATTAATGGACAAGTGCACACTGTAGGACACAAAAAAACTTACTTAAAACATCACTCAAACTTGTCTCCTTGATCCATTTATTTAGTTTGAGCATTTGCAGAGTAAACCTGGGTTTCTCTAGTATATTAAGTTGGAGTAAAATTACTTGCTATCTCTCCACCACAGACATTTTTTTTTAAAAACGATAATGCATTGTCTGTGTGTGTCTGTTTCTCTGCAGAGCCACTAGAGAAAAACAGGAGCAGTTTGTGCCTGGCACTCCCCCAGCCTCCCCTCACCTCCAACCCTTCACACCCTCCAGTCCATCCGTGCTGCCAGCGAATGGACCCTGTAACAATGACGACCGGCGGGTGCTGCCACCTGCCCGGCTCTCTGTGTGACTGTGCCAGCAACACAGGCCTGTGGAAGAGCGTGGAGGAAGCGGGCGGTGACGGGTGCCAGGCGCTCTACGTCACCCAGGTCACAGCCATAGATGGACGGTTGCTGTCCTCTGTGCTCAAACCAATGAGTGCACAAAGGTACTTTAAGAATATTACTGTTATTGCTGTAAGATGTTCCACGGGTAAACTTTGAATGG